TTTTTTTTGAGACAGAATTTTGCTCTTGTTACCCAGACTGGAGTGCAATGGTACGATCTCGGCTCACCACAACCTCTGCCTCCTGAGTTCAAGCAATTCTCCTGCCTCAGCCTCCTGAGTAGCTGGTACTACAGGTGCGCACCACCATGCCCAGATAATTTTTGTATTTTTAGTAGAGATGGTGCTTCACCTTGTTGACCAGGATGGTCTCGATCTCTTGACCTTGTGATCCACCCGCCTCGGCCTCCCAGAGTGCTGGGATTATAGGCGTGAGCCACTGCGCCAGGCCAGTAAGTCATTTTTTATTGCCAAGCAGTGTTCAGATTTATAGATAAATTACAATGTGTTTACTCATTTTCCTGTTGATGTGCACTTAGGTTGTTGTAAGATTTGGGCTATTATAAATAAAGCTACCATAAACATTAATGTATAAAATAAATGAATGAATAAATAAATTAAAACAAACTGAACATCAATGTCTATTTCACAGGTTATTGTGGAGACAAAATGAGAGTAATTTGAAAACTTTAATTTGAAAGCGTTAGCACTACATAAATAATACACTAGTTATGTCAATACATTTCCACTAGATGGCAGTAAACCTCACCAAAAACAACTCAGCTCTACTGTCTGTTGGAGATTTTACATTTTTAGTAAATGACTTACCTAGTCTTGGTTCTGTGATTATATTGAAATGTGGTTGAGGTTTTTGTACGATTTCAAATGAATGAACTACCTGCTTTGGCTTAGAAATATTTGTGTTTGATGTGGATTGTGAAAAATAATTATTTTTAGTAATAATCCACATACCCCTGTTTCACACTCCTCTCCCTCAGTTTTTTTCTTCATCTTTGAATGTGCACATCTTATTTTGTTTTAATTCTTATTTTTGAGACAGAGTCTCACTCTGTTGCCAAGGCTAGAGTGCAATGGCGTCATCTCAGCTCACTGCAACCTCTGCCTCCTGGGTTCCAGCGATTCTCCTGCCTTAGCCTCCCAAGTAACTGGGAATACAGGTGTGCACCACACACCTGGCTAATTTTTTTTTGTATATTTAGTAGAAACGGGGTTTTGCTAAGTTGGCCAGGCTGGTCTCAAACTCCTGGACTCAAGTGATCTACACAATAGTGTGTAGAAAGCAGGGCAAGAAACATTATATTAACATTTAATTCTAGGCCAAGCACAGGGCTCATGCCTGTAGTCCCAGTACTTTAGGAGGCCTAGATGGGAGGATCACCTGAGGTCGAGAGTTCGAGACCAGCCTGACCACATGGAGAAACACTGTCTCTACTAAAGTACAAATTAGCCAGGTGTGGTGATGCACACTCGTAATCCCAGCTACTTGGGAGGCTGAGGCAGGAGAATTGCTTGAACCCGGGAGGTGGAGGTTGCAGTGAGCCAAGATCGTGCCATTGCACTTAAGCCTAGGCAATAAGAGCGAAAGTCCATCTCAAATAAATAAATAAATAAACAACAATAACAAAAAAATCTAAATCATATCATTGTCTTATTTATGGTGACTATATTTTGTAAAATAATTGGAATGCAAACTCTGACAAAATATTGTTTTAGTTTTTCCCTAGGAACTTGTGAATCTTTGAGTTGAAAGTTTCACAAATGTCTAAATATTAAATTACATTATGTTTAAGTTGCCCCTCAGTGTAGAATACAATAAAATTATCTATTCTTAATACTTAGCTTTAAGGTCTCTACCATCTACTATAGCAACATTAATTACTTAGGTTCTTTTTTTTTTTTTTTTTTTTAAGTTGGGGTTTCACCACAGGCTGGTCTTGAACTTCTGACCTCAGGTGATCCATGCACCTCGACCTCCCAAACTGCTGGGATTACAGGCATAAGCCACCTTGCCTGGCCTACTCAGGTTCATTTAACTCATGATGATGTTAAAGAAGTAAAAGAGAATGTGTATGCTCAGAATATTTAGAATTACATATCTTTAATAGCTGGGCACAGCAGCTCATGCCTGTAATACTAGCACTTTGGGAGGTCAAGGTAAGGGAATCACTTGAGGTCAGGCCAATGTGATGAAACCTCATCTCTACTAAAAACACAAAAATTAGCCAGGTATGCCCAGAACCTAAAGTACTATAAAAAATAAAAATAAATTAGCCAGGTGTGGTGGCACATGCCTGTAGTCCCAGCTATTGGGGAGGCTGAGGCAAAAGAATTGCCTGGACCTGGGAAGTGGAGATTGCAATTAGCTGAGATTATGCCAGTGCACTCTAGCCTGGGTGACAGAGAGAGACTCCATCTTAAAAACAAAAAAAAAAAAATTATGTCCCTTTAGAATTCAGATTCCATAGATAATTTTCAGAGCTTCACTTTTATTAAGCCTTATATTTTGAAATGATGGTAGATATGCATGTAGTTGTTAGAAAATAGTACAGTAATATCTTGTGTAACTATAATATCAAAAACAGAAAACTGACAATATGGTCTACTAACTTAATCAGATTTCACCAGTTTTACTCATGTTCATTTGTGTGTGTTTATGTATGTAGTTAATTCTTTGCAATTGTATCCACATTTGTAGATTCCTGTGACCACCAACCCAGTGAAGACACAGACCAGAAACAAACAAACGCTGGTTTTGCTCATGCCTGTAATCTCAGCACTTTGGGAGGCTGAGGCAGGTCTATCACTTGAGCTCTGGAGTTCCAGACCAGCCTGGCAACATGACAAAACCCCGTAGATTAGTCTGTTTTTACACTGCTGATAAAGACATAGCTCAGACTGGAAAGAAAAGAAGTTTAATTAGACTTACAGTTCCACATAACTGAGGAGGCCTCACAAATCGTGGTGGGAGGTGAAAGGCACTTCTTTTGTGGTGGCAGCAAGAGAAAAAACCAGGGCCAGTTACAGTGGCTCACACCTGTAATCCCAGCACTTTGGGATGGTGAGGGTGGTGGATCACGAGTTCAGAAATTTGAGACCATCCTGACCAACATGGTGAAACCCCATCTCTACTAAAAATACAAAAAAAAGCCAGCTATGGTAGCACATGCCTGTAATCCCAGCTACTCAGAGGCTGAAGCAGGAGAATCACTTGAACCTGGGAGGCGGAGGTTGCAGTGAGCCGAGATCATGCCACTGCACTCCTGCCTGAGTGACACAGTGAGATGCTCTCTCTCTCTCTCTCTCTCTCTCTCTCTCTAGAGAGAGAGAGAGAGAGAGAGAAAACCAGGAAGCAAAAGCGGAAACCCCTGATGAATCCATCAGATTTTGTGAGACTTATTCACTATCACGGGAATAGCATGGGAAAGACCAGCCCCAGTAATTCAATTACCTCCCCCAGGTCCCTCCCACAACTTGTAAAAATTCTGGGAGATACAATTCAAGTTGAGATTTGAGTGGGGACACAGGCAAACCATATCATTCCACACCTGGCTCCTCCAAATCTCATGTCCTCAAGTTTCAAACCAATGGTGCTTTCCCAATAGTCCCCCAAAATCTTAACTCATTTCAGTATTAACCCAAAAGTCCACAGTCCAAATCTCATCTGAGACAATTCCATTCCACCCATGGGCCTGTCAAATCAAAATTAAGCTAGTTACTTCCTAGATACAATGGTAGTGCAGGTATTGGGTAAATACAGCCATTCCAAATGGCTGAAATAAAACTGAACACCAATGGGAGAAATTGGCAAAAACAAGAGTTATGGGCCCAAGCAAGTACAAAATCCAGTGGGGCAGTCAAATTGTAAAGCTCCTAAGTGATCTTCTTTGATTCCAGGTCTCACATCCAGGTCAGGCTGGAGTGCAGTGGTATGGTCTCAGCTCACTGCAACCTCCACCTCCCAGGCTCCAGCGATCCTCCCAGGTAAGCCTCCCTCCCAAGTAGCTGGGACCCCAGATATATGCCACCATGCCAAGCTTATTTCTGCATGTTTTGTAGAGACAAGTTCTCACCATGTTGCCCAGGCTAGTCTCAAACTTCTGGGGTCAAGCAATCCACCCACCTCGGCCTTTCAAAGTGCTGGGATTACAGGCTTGAACCACCATACTCTACTTTCATAATAAATTATTGTTAACTGTAGGCACTCTACAATGCTATAAAACACTTGCACTTATCCCTCTTACCTAGCTATAATTTTGTATACTTTAACCAACCTCTGCATATCCCCCATCCTTCCCGGTCTCTAGTAACTACTATTTTACTCACTATTTCTGTAAGAAATAATTTTTGCCAAAGAGGTTGAGCAAGTTAGTGCATTAATGCCAGGTGTGGTGGCTCATGCCTCTAATCCCATAATTTTGGGAGGCTGAGCCCAGTGGATCACTTGAGCTCAGGAGTTTGAGAGGAACCTGGGCAACATGGCAAAACCCCGTTTCTACAAAAAGTACAAAACTTAGCCAGATGTGGCCAGTGACTGAGATCGAGCTACTGCACTCCAGCCTAGGTGGCAAAATGAGACCATACCAAAAAAACTTGATCAGATGGCCGGGCATGGTGGCTCACACGTGTAATCCTAGCACTTTGGGAGGCCGAGGCAGGTGTATCGCCTAAGGTTAGGAGTTCAAACCGGCCTGGCCATCATGTTGAAACCCCATCTTTAAAAAAAAATTGACCAGCCCTGGTGGTTCACGCCTGTAGTCTCAGCACTTTGCAAGGCTGAGGCAGGTTTACCACTTGAGGCCAGCAGTTCAAGACCAGCCTAGCCCCATCTCTACTAAAAATACAAAAATTAGCTGGGCATGGTGGTACACATCTATAGTCCCAGCGACTTGAGAGGCTGAGGCATAAGAATTGCTTAAACCCAAGAGGCAGAGGTTACAATGAGCCAAGATGGTGCCACTGCACTCCAGCCTGGGTGAAAGAGTGAGACTCTGTCAAAAACAAAAAAGTTAGTACATTAGCAGATCAATTTTTTTTCTGCTTCTTATGCCTATGTGTCAAATGATTCTGTGACATTCCAGACAAGACCCTTACTAGACTTAGTAGACTTAGTAAGGGTCTAGTCTGAAAAACACAAGACTTAATGGTATTTCACCAGAGATAATTTAATATAAGGGATTGGCTAATCCAGTAGGAAGGACTGAAAAGAGCAGAAAGGGAAAATGAGGTAACACAGAGATAAAGCCTGTAGAAAGTAGGCATCATGCCTCAGTCTAGGGGAACAAAGGGAATAGGTTGGGATTCTCAGACCTAGAAATTTGGAGGAGAGGTCCTGGAAAGCTGGGACTCAGACCCCTGGGAAGGGGGTGCTGCTTGGCTGTGCTGGTGGCACTGAGAGTGTGTGAAAAAGCTGAAGACTGGGGCTAGGCATGGTGGCCCATGCCTATAATCCCAGCACTTTGGGAGGCAAAGGCAGGTGGATCACTTGAGGTCATGAGGTTGAGACCAGCCTGGTCAACATGGTGAAATCCTGTTTCTACTAAAAATACCAAAATTAGCTGGTGTGTTCCCATACTCTTGTAATCCCAGCTACTCAGGAGGCTGAGACAGAAGAAATTCTTGAACCTGGGAGGTAGAGGTTGCAGTGAGCCAAGATCACACCATTGCAATCCAGCCTGGGCAACAGAGTGAGACTCCATCTCAAAAAAAAAAATTGCTGGAGACTGGACCCAGCTGATTTTGTCAGGGTGATGAAAGTCTATTGCTGTGGCACTACTGAAAGAAACAGCCAGCAGGCAGGAGCCAGTCCCTTCTCCCTCTTCTTGCCTTCTGTTGTCTTCCTCATGCACCCTATGGGCAGAACCTTCTGGAAGCCAACTGGCAAAGCAGAAATGAGGTCTGCAGAGACTTGGCATCACAAAGCAGAGCATGGAAGTGGGGGTTCAGAGCTGATGTAGAATCACCTTATGACTGGCATGGTCCCACACCCACCTCTTGACCTTGACTGGAGGTGGAACAAGGGCTGGAACAAGAAGACACTGTGCAGTTTTCAACTCCACTAGGTGCCACACACAGCTGAGTTCTGGTTGGTATCCTGTTTGAGGCCGAGGGGAAATGTGAAAGGAGTGTTAGTACTTTTCTAAGTCACATGGTGTTCTGTTCTTTGAACAACAGTCACAAAATGGACATGGCTCATTTTGCTGAAGATTCTTATTAAAGACTGATAAAATAGAATTTACATATAAAGCTCTTCTCAACTGTGTTGGTTGTCTGTTATCAAATGACATGTGCACTTGCTTACAAACATCTTTGATGCTCTGGGAACACAAATGTGACCCCAGACTAGTGGAAATTCTCAGAGATATGTGAGTAGGAATTTCAGCTTCAAAAGAAAAGCAATAACCCCTTAAGATATATTTCTTAGAAATGTGTGTGTGGATATGGCTGCCTTTACATTATTTTGTTTCAGGAGTTGTTACTGGCTGGCAGGGTGGCTCACACCTATAATCCCAGCACTTTGGGAGGCAGAGGTGGGCAGATCACTTGAACCCAGGAATTAGACCTGGGCAACATGACAAAACCCTGTCTCTACAAAAATTACAAAAATTAGCCTGGTGTGGTGGCATGCCCCTGTATTCCCAGCTACTCAGGAGGCTGTGGTGGGAGGACCACTTCAGCATGGGAGGTGAAGGCTGCAATGAGCCATGATTGCACCACTGCACTTCAGCCTGGGTAATGGCAGTGAGAACTTGTGTTAAAAAAAAAGTTGGGCAGGTGAGGTGGCTTATGCCTGTAATCCCAGCACTTTGGGAGGCCAAGGTGGGTGGACCATGAGGTCAGGAGTTCATGACCAGCCTGATGAAACCCTGTCTCCAAAGAAAAAAAAGTTAATAATTATATCTTAGAAATATTTTCTATCAAGGTGCTTTTCATGTTGTCTTAACATTTGTGAGCCAAGAACAAGGGTCAAGAAACATTTTCTGTAAAAGGCCAGATAGTAAATACTGCTGACTTCTTGTCACAGCTAAACTCTGCCATTGTAGTGCAAAAGGAGACATAGAGTGTAACTCAATGAATGGGCATGATTTTTTTTGAGAGAAGGTCTTGCTCTGTTGCCCAGGCTGGAGTGCCATGGCACGATCTGAGCTCACTGCAGCCTCGATCTTCTGGGCTTAAGCAATCCTCCCACCTCAGCCCCGCAAGTAACTGGGACTAAAGGCATGCACCACCACACCCGACTAAGTGTTTTGTATTTTTTTGTAGAGACGGGTGATATGGTTTGACTGTGTCTCCATTCAAATCTCAACTTGAATTGCATCTCCCAGAATTCCCACGTGTTATGGGAGGGATGTGTGGAATTCCCACGTGATATGGGAGGGTAGTAGGTGCTCCTACTACCATCACCTTGGGGGTTAGAATTTCAACATACAAATTTTGGAAGGACACAAACATTCAGACCCTAGCAATCATTGAATTGTACCTTATGTGTCTTTGGAAACTTAGCATTTCCAAATGGAGTGGAGTCAGAAAGAGTTAAGTGTTGTGACTTTTTTTTTGAGACAGAGTCTCGCTGTGTCACCCATTCAACAGAGTACAGTGGCCCAATCTCAGCTCACTGCAACCTCCGCCTCCCAGGTTCAAGGGATTCTGGTACCTTGGTCACCTGAGTAGCTGGGATTATGGGCATGCCCCACCATGCCTGGACAATTTTTGTATTTTTAGTAGAGATGGGGTCTCACCATGTTGCCTAGGCTGCTCTTAAAGTCCTGACCTCAGGTGATCCACCCATCTTGGCCTCTCAAAAGTGCTGGGATTACAGAAGTGAGCTACCACACTCAGCCAAGTGATGTAAATTTTACTTCTGCTTTTCTCTTTGATCTTTACCCTCCCTGCCAACTGCTCAGCCTCTCAGTTGGCAAGGTGAAGTGAGCACTGTGCTGAGAGCCACGGATGTGCTTGTTGATTCTACATTGGGGAAAAGAATCACCAGCACATCTCAATCTAGGTTAGCAAGACTTTAGTGCTAGAGCCTGACAAGCAATGGATTAATAATAACAACAACAACAATAATAATAACATGTCCCCAGAGTTCCCCTTACAGTTTTCACAGAGGATAAAACTGGACTGCAGTGAAATATCCCTTCACTGCACTCAAGAGGCAACTGCAGATACAAGAATAAATAAGAGTGCAAGAGTAAATCCCAACTGATGTCTAGACCAGAAAAACACTGAAAGTGCCAGGCGTGGTGATGCATGCCTGTAGTCTCAGCTACTCAGGAGGCTGAGGTGGGAGGATCGCTTGAGCCCAGGAGTTCTGGGCTGTAATGTGCTATGCTGATCGGGTGTCCACACTAAGTTCGGCATCAATATGGTGACCTTCTGGGAGAGGAAACCATCAGGTTGTCTGAGGAGGAGTGAACCGGCCCAGGTCAGAAATGGAGCAGGTCAAAACTCCCGTGTTGATCAGTAGTGGGATCGTGCCTATGAATAGCTACTGAACTCCAGCCTGAGCAACCATGGTGCAACCCCGTCTTTTTTTTTTTTTTTTAAAGAAAAACACTGAAAGCAAATTAAGACATTTGCAATGCTGGTTAGGCTATAAGATATCTGCCAAAATCATCAGAGTCTATAGTGCTTCCTTACTGAGGTTTATCTGGAGAAACAGAGGGATATGAGTGAGGCCGGGAGAGAGGGAGGGAAAATCTCTCTCCCAACCACAGACTATCCTCTGCTTAGTCTGTGTAGGCTGAATGCCCAATCAGATTACATAGCTGCCGCTGGGTCAGTAACAGTCATCAGGGAAGCAGATGTCTTCTATTCTTCTAATCATCACCCTGCTCAGTATAATAAAAAAACAAGTGGCCAGGCATGGTGGTTCACACCTGTAATTCTAGCACTTTAGGAGGCTGAGGCAGGTGGATCACTCGAGGTCAGGAATTCAAGACTAGCCTGAACAACATGGCAAAACCCTATCTCCACTAAAAATACAAAAAAAAGTTAACCAGGCTTGGCAGTGCACACCTGTAGTCCCAACCATACAGGAGGCTGGGGCAGGAGAATTGCTTGAACCCAGGAGGCAGAGGTTGTAGTGAGCTGAGGTTGTGCCACTGTCCTCCAGCTTGGGAAACAGAGCAAGACTCTGCCTTAAAAAAAAAAAAAAAAAAACAGTAAATAAATACAGCAGGGGACTTTTAGGGGGCTTCAGAGAGGACTGTAAACATGACTTTTCTGTTAAAATTTTATCAAATATCATGATGATGGGATAGTTTTGTATCTTGAGTGTGATGGTGGCTACATAAATATGCACATGTGATAAAATTGCATAAACCATAAACACACACACACACAGAACAGTGCAAGTATGATTGATGAAATCTGAGTAAGGGCCATGGTTGTACCAATCCAATTTCATGGCTTTACTATTGTACTATAGTTACAGAAGATGCCAATACTGGGGGAGGAGAAGAGAGCTACGACTTCCCTGTATGCTTATTTTGCAACTTCCTGTGGCTCTATAATTTATTATTATTTTTTCATTCTATCAAGTAGATTATACATTGGACTTTCAGGCAATTATCAGCAATATGTAAGGGAGCTCCATGGTAGAGCTGGGTGTAGTGCAGACACCTTTTAATTCACAGTATCACTATCAGGTAACTTGTTTCACCCAATTCTAAAAAAATACCTGGGGTATAATCTACATACAGCAAAGTGCAAAAATCCGATGTGAATACTTGGCAATTTTACACACATGGACACTTCCTCTCTCTTTACCACCTGAAGGCACCCATTATTTTGACTATCACATAGATGAATCTTATTGAATGGCTCATTTTTACTTATTTATTTTTATTTATTTTTTGAGATGGAGTCTTGCTGGAGTGCAGTGGCATGACCTCAGCTCACTGCAACCCTCTGCCTCCCAGGTTCAAGTGATTCTCCTGCCTCCGCCTCCTGAGTAGCTGGATTACAGGCAGTTGTCACTATGCTAATGTGTGTGTGTGTGTGTGTGTGTGTGTGTTTAGTAGAGACAGGGCTTCACCAGGCTGGTCTTGAACTGGCCAGGCTGGTTTTGAACTCCTCAGGTGTTCCACCCACTTCGGCCTCCCAAAGTGCTGGGATTAAAGACCTGAGCCACTGCATCTGGCCCATTTATATTTATATTTATTGTCACTTTCAGTGCTAGGCTGGAAAAGGAAAAGAAAACAAATCTATTGATATTGCTGCTTGTGAGAACTTTGGTTAAGAGAAGGGAAGGAAGGAAAAAAGGAAGAGAGGGAGGGAGGGTAGGAACAACCTAGGAAGTGACACTCTTCTGAAAGGAGATTAGGAGTCCCTTGCTTCCTGCTATGAAGACCAGCCTTCCATCAGGTTGGTCTGATGGGGAAAAAGATCTCTGAGGCCCAGGACCCACACTCAGGACTTTCATATGCAATCCTCGATTCCATTGCTTTTCAACACTGGCCTGTGCTCATAATCCCTGTGGCACATCAAACATCTGGCTCTGCTTATTTTTTTTAAACATATCAGTACAAAAAGCTAATGGTATAGCTTCAACCTTAGAAAGGTGGTCATTAGTGGTGTCACGGACTTTGGGGAGCCGTATGGTATGAGACACCAACTGAAAGGTGCGCACAGCAAAGCTTCTTGGTTTCTTGTCTTCACCTGTCATCCTCTCAGCTGAGGAGGCACAGAGCATCTTGTTTGGGGCCAGAAATCCCAGCTGTTTTCAATGTTTTGGAACAGGTCAGAAAGCTTAATGGTAATACAGTGACTCAGTGGTATTTATTTCTGCTGTCTAGTGGCTTTCCCCTCTCAGTAGCAGGTGATTGGATGTTCTTAGGAATGAGATCAAGCTTCTCATTCTTGAATAAATATTTTAAATCCAAAGAGGTAGATATGATATTAATGGGAATTATCTCCTCTTTAAACTTCCTGCAGCTAATTCACAGGTGCTCTTGACTGTGCACAGGATCTAAAGCCAGAAAAGCAGGGCAGGGTTGTGTTCTTCTCTGAGTGGAAACTCAACTGTCAAAGCCAAGGGGCCTGAGGCCCGGACTGGGCCCTTCCTTTGTTTGGTGATAGGCTCTCATTACTTAAGTGTTAGAGTCTTCCACAAGAGATGGATGCTCCACCTACAGAGAGCAGCAGAGGATGGATTACTAAAAGGCTGTTTATAAAGGGGTTAAGGGAAACCCATAAGGGATGCTGAGGCATGCCAGGTCTAGAATATCACCTCTAGGTCAAAAGACATTGAAGGTGGTTACAAAGCTCAGAGAGAAGAACTGAGAAAAGAAACTGACCACTTAGCTGACCTGAAGCCCATCTGGAAGGGAGCCAGGGACTCAACACTATGACCTCCCTCGTCTCCCAACCTCTGATTGCCTGTTGTTACCTCCCATTTGCCTAACCCAATTTGAACACATGGCAGCAGGGATCTTGGTTGATAGAGTTCATGAAGATCTGCTCACTAAAGCACAGATCAGGGAGCAGAGATGATCTGATGGGACAGAATGAAAAGTACCTACACACTACCCTTTTCCTCATCTTGGCATAGCTGGTCCCTCAGGGGAGAAGTGCCTGCCTAGCAGCCACCCAGTGGGTTCTTTCTGCCCCATGCACAGACAAAAACCAATTCACTGAGATGATGGCATTGCAATAAAGAAAATGTTTAGGCTGGGTGCAGTGGTTCACACTTGTAATCCCAGCACTTTGAGAGGCTGAGGTGGGCAGATCACAAGGTCAGGAGTTTGAGACCAGCCTGGCCAACATGGAGAAACACAGTTTTTACTAAAAATATAAAAATTAGCTGGGCATGGTGGCAGGCACCTGTAATCCTAGCTATTCAGGAGGCAGAGGCAGGAGAATCATTCAAACCCAGGATACCGAGGTTGCAGTGAGCTGAGACCACACCATTGCACTCCAGCCTGGGTGACAGAGTGAGACTCCATTAAAAAAAAAAAAAAGAAAAAGTTTAATAGGCACGAGGCTGGCCATGTCACATGGGAGTCAGAATTATTACTCAAATCCAACTCTTCAGAAATTCAAAGGCTAGAATTTCTCAAAGATAGTTTTGGGGAAGGGGTAGCCAGGCGACCATATTTGTTGCTGATTGGTTGGGGGCACAATTGTAGAGTTGTGGCAAATGGTCTTCATCCTCCCTGAGTCCCTTCTGGGTGGGGCCACAGGAACTGTGGCCAAGCCCAGGTGGAGCCATTGGTTGCAACATGCAAAAAACCTGCAAATGTATCTCCAAAGGCCAATCTTAGGTTATACAACAGTGATGTTATCTTTAGGAGTAACTGGGGAAGTTGGATGTCTTGTGGCCTCTAGAATAATGGCTGGTAATCATTTATGTCTCCACCTTAGCAGAATTCAGGCTCCTCTATTATCTTAGTCTTGTGGTCTCTGATTAGCTTTACAAAGGGGATTGAATTTTTGGGAAGGGCTACTATTTGTTAAACTCTAAACTAGATATCTCTCAAAGTTAGCTTGGCCTAAGCCTAGAAATAATTAAGGGCAGCTTGAAGCCAAAGGCAAGATGGGGGTTGGCCAGATGAGGTCTTCTTCACTGCCATAATTGTTTCACTGTTATAATTTTTGCAAAGGCAGTTCCACCAGGAGGAGGCCTTCATTCCCACCTGCCATAAAGAAACAAAGAAGAAAGTAAATGTGTCAACAGTATCTCTTGAGAACCTCAGTCCAGTCTCCCACATAGGGTCACAGTAGATTTAAACTCCCATTTTCCTTTCCACTCCTGGGCCTCTTAGATCCCCCACTGCCTCTTCACATAGTAGTCCTACATTCAGGTTTGATGAAACAATTATCTGCCAGGTGTGGTGGCTCATGCCTGTAATCCTAGTGTTACTGGAAAGGGGTCCCAATCCAGACCCCAAGAGAGGGTTCTTGGATCTCTCACAAGGAAGAATTTGAGGCACATCCATAGAGGAAAGTGAAAGCAAGTTTGTTAAGAAAGTAAAAAAACAGGCCCAGCATGGTGGCTCATGCCTATAATCCCAGCACTTTGGGAGGCTGAGGTGGGTGAATCACAAGGTCAGGAGTTCGAGGAGTTCAAAATCAGCCTGGCCAGCATGGTGAAAATCCATCTCCACTAAAAATACAAAAATTAGCTGGGAATGGTAGTGTGCACCTGTAATCCCAGCTACTCAGGAGGCTGAGGTAGGAGAGTCACTTGAACCTGGGAGGTGGAGGTTGCAGTGAGCCAAGACTGTGCCACTGCACTCCAGCCTGGGTGACAGAGATTCCATCTCAAAACAAACAAACAAAAAAAGAAAGTAAAGAAATAAAGAATGGCTACTCCATAGGCAGAGCAGCACCATGGGCTGCTCAACTGCTTATACTTATTTTTACTTCTTGATTACATGCTAAACAAGGGGTAGATTATTCATGAGTTTTCTGGTAAGGGGGTGGGCAGTCAATTCCTGGACCTGAGGGTTCCTCCCATTTTGAGATCATATAGGGTACTTCCTGACATTGCCATGGCATTTGTAAACTGTCAGGGTGCTGGTGGGAGTGTCTTTTAGCATACTAATGCATTCTAATTAGCAATATAATGAGCAGTGAGGGTGACCAGAGGTCACTTTCATGCCATCATGGATTTGGTGGGCTTGGGTTGGCTTCTTTACTGCAAACTGCTTTCTCAGCTAGGCCTTTGTGACCTGTATCTTGTGCCAACCTCCTATCTCATCCTGTGACTTGAGTGCCTAACCTACTGGGAATGCAGCCAGGTAGGTCTCAGTCTTATTTTACCCAGTCTCTATTCAAAATGGAGTTGTTGTGGTTCAAATGCCTCTGACATTAGCACTATGGAAGGATGAGGCAGGAGGATCACTTGAGCTCAGGAGTTCAAGATCAAACTGGGCAACATAGCAAGACTTTGTCTGTACAAAAAAAAAATAAACAAAATTACCCAGGTGTTGTGGTACATGCTTGTAATCCCAGCTACTTGGAAAGCTGAGATGGGAGAATTGCTTAAGCCCAGCAGGTCAAGGCTGCAGTGAGCCATGATCGTGTCACTGCACTCCAGCTTGGGTGACAGAGTGAGACCCTGTCTCAAAACAAAAAATAGCAATTGCAAATATTTGAAGCCTCCAAAAAGAATGGGGTATGGGTGAATTCTATCTTTACTTAACATTTTGGTTATTTGTTCATGATCAAATTTTTTTTGCATTAATTTTGATTTGCTAAAATACTGCATTAAAATACCATTTATCCTAATTACCAAGAGTCTAGGCCTCCCCTTGCTTTCTGCACCCTAATCCCAGCCCTTCAAGTGCCTCAATTTATAAGACTTACTGGTAAGAGCCCTTCAGTGAGCTCACCTGTTGCATTCTGAATAGGGATCAGTTTTGTTTGTTTGTTTTTTGAGACGGAGTCCTGCTCTGCCACCCAGGCTGGAGTGCAATGGCACGATCTTGGCTCACCACAACTTCTGCCTCCTGAGTTCATTTGATTCTCCTGTCTCAGCCTCCTGAGTAGCTGGGATTACAGGCATGTGCCACCGCACCTGACTAATTTTTCTATTTTTAGTACAGACAGGGTTTCACCATGTTGGTCAGGCTGATCTCAAACTCCTGACCTCTGGATCCACCCATCTTGGCCTCCCAAAGTGCTGGGATTACAGATGTGAGCCACTGTGCCTGGCCAGGATCAGTTTTTTAATGTTTTCATATACCTTTTCAGTAAAACACCTAGTATGTAACAAAAGGAAGGCTTTCCTGTATATTTTTCTTGGTGTTTTAAAGCCCATAAACAGAAACAGATGTCGCCAATGCCACAGAATCTCTAAGTCCAGTTGTAAATCCTCTCTCACCTAACAGGCACTCTTTATTCTGAAGACAACTTTTTGTAACCCCAAGTAGGAACAAAAATTCAAGTCATGTAAAAACAACACTTTTCAGAAGTGCCAGTATTTTTCTTTATTCCTGTCCTCTGGTATTTGTTCAAAGTGCTTTTTTAACAAACTAGTCTGACTGAAACTGCAAGTGCAGGAAACTGGAGACCAAAACAAATAATTAAGTTGGAAAAAAAAGCACTTTGGTTCAGCTCTTAAAGAGCTAAACAGGCTCACAGCAAGTAAAACTCAGTCCTCTGCAGTAAAACCACCTACCTTCCCACCTCATTGTCAAAAGTCAAGACTCTGCCCTCCTACACTAGACTTTCCATCCTAAGAGTCCCTCCTACTTCAAAGCCAAATGCACAGCTACAGAGATGCCGGGCTTGTCTCTGCCTTCTTCCTCCTGGAGGGCCAGAGTAGGGCTTCACACTCACAGGGTGACAGAGCAGCACAGGACAGAATGACTCAGGTGGCAGGAATGCTCTCGTTGCTAGATGAACAAAGTATGTAGAAGAGGATGAAAAGGCTTCGATCCAGCAGCAGATTAGCAAGGCAGGCCAAGAGGGGGAAAGGAAATCACATAATTTGTATTTGTACTTCCTTTAAAAAAAAAAGACCAGGCACCATGGCTCATGCCTGTAATTCCGTCACTTGGGGAGGCTGAGGTGGGAGGATCATGAGGTTAGAAGATCGAGACCATCCTGGCTAATGCAGTGAAATGCTGTCTCTACTAAAATTACAAAAAATTAGCTGGGCATGGTGGTGCACACTTGTAGTCTCAGCTACTCTGGAGGCTGAGGCAGGAGAATCACTTGAACCCAGGAGATGGAGGTTGCAGTAAGCCAAGATTGTGCCAATGCACTCCAGCCTGGCACAGAGCAAGACCCTGTCTGAAAAAAAAAAAAAACAAGAAAAAACCACAACCCAGACCAATAAACAAAGCTCAGATTCTATTTAGAGATCTCAAGACTTGCCCACAGATACTCAACTGAGCATTTAACAATGTCTCCACCCCGCCCAGGCCAGCCTGTGTCTTTTCTCCAGCCCATAGCTGTCAGGTTGTTTTATATGCTGGTGCTGCCTGCAGGGTCTTGGTATGGGGGGCACTGCTGGATGACATCTTAGTGTGTATTTACTGCAGAGGCTGTCTGAACAGCCTGCATTCTGGCTCTGGCCTGGTGTACAACCCGAGTCTGCTCATTTCCATTCTAAGTCTCCCAGAGCCCATAGATACCCAGAGGTGGCCTTTAAAACTGGGGCCAGCCTGGGGCTGGAATGTACCATTCAGAGCCAGAACCAGCCTGCAGGATCCAGCTGCCTGGGATTTGGGAGAAAAGCCTAGACAGGCACTAATCTGGCTATTCCTTGTGAGTCAGAGCACACTGTGCTTGGAGCTGCATCCCTTGGGATGGGTTGAACAGTCACAACCAGAGAATACAGAGAGTCTCTTCCTTGCCTCCTTTGAGCAAACCACAGGCTTTTTGTATTAGTTTTTTCATGTACAAAGCTGTTGGAATAGTATGGTTGAAAGCTATTCCTTGTACCCTCTTGCTAATGCAGGATTCTAGCACTCTGCTTCTCATCTTAGATATATCTGCATGTTCACAAAAGTTTCTCTTGCATCCTTATGATTAAGTCAGTTCAATTTCAGTTTTTTTTTGAGATGGAGTCTTTCTCTGTCACCAGGCTGGAGTGCAGTGGCGTGACCTTGACTCACTGAAACCTCCACCTCCTAGGTTGAAGTGATTCCCCTGCCTCAGCCTTCCAAGTAGCTGAGACTACAGGAGCATGCCACCATGCCTGGCTAATTTTTGGCATTTTTTAGTAGAGATAGGGTTTCACCATGTTGGCCAGGATGGTCTCAATCTCCTGACCTCGTGATTCGCCCACCTCAACCCCTCAAAGTGCTAGGATTACAGGTATGAGCCACTGCACCCTGCCTAACTTCAACGTTATGTCCTGGAATCTGTTGCCAGCATCTGACACTGCCACCCTGTGTTGCTAAAGTGCAGACAAAGTAGGGAGACAGCACTGTCCCCTTTTTATAGGTTTCACTCTGTTGTTAGGATATAGGAGTAGTACAGTAGGCCAAAAAATGACCCCCTGAAAGATATCCACATCAAAACCCCAAATATGTGAATGTGACCTTGTTGGAAAGAAAAGGTCTTTGCTGCTATGATGAAATTAAGAATGTTGACAGGAAGTGCTTAGTCAGCATTATCCAGGTGGGCCCTAAATGCAATCACATGCATCCTTACAAGACACACACAGAGAATAAGACACAGACATACAGAGGAGAAGGCAGTGTGAAAACAGAGATTTGGAATAATGCTGCAATAGTCCACAGAAGCCAGAGGAGGCTAGGAACAGATTGTCCCCTAGGACCCTGGAGAGAGTGCAGTGCTGCTCCCTTAATTTCAGACTTCTGACCTCCAGAATGCTGGGACCATAAATTTCTGTTGTGTGAAATATAGTGTGTGGTAATTTGTTACTCAACCTCAGGAAAGTAAGACAAGCAATGTTGTTTATATTCTCTAATGCCCCCCAGAGGTTTCTTTTGTGTCTGTTGTCTAATTGGGTGAGTGTTCTCAACTGAAAGAGCTCTTTGGTTATTGCCCTCAAAGGACTTGGATATAAATAAATGGTGATCCTGGGCTGGGACAATTAGCAGCCACCAAGCTCTCCTTGAGATCCTGTCTCCACTCTGTACAAACTTGTTCTGTCTGGTTTCCTCTTTCTTTAGGAGAGTTCTGTCCACAGAGTTCCTCAGGCCCTCATGGACTAGATTTCAGATGGGCCATCCAAAAAACTCATATGGAGAAACTAATGAAGGAAGGAGATTGGACTCACCTTGTAAAAAACATGATATATAGGCACTTGTAGATGTAATATACAAAACTTGGCTGCCTGGGTTCCTACCAGACTCGAATGCATTTGGAGAGCAGTAAAAGATTTCTTTTTAGCTGGCACAAGGTAAAATTCCATTACAAACTGCATTGCAATTAGCCACCAGCTGCTGCTGCTGCTGCTCCTTCTTCTTCTTCTTCTTTTCTTCTTCTTCTTTTTCTTCTTCTTCTTTGAGACAGATTTCTGTTCTGTTGTCCAGGTGGGTGTGCAGTGGCGTGGTGTCTGCTCACTTCCACCTCTCTCCCCACTCCTTTCACCCTCAGGTTCAAGCAAACCTCCTACCTCAGCTTCCCATGTAGCTGAAATTACAGGCACTCTCCACCATGCCAGGCTAATTTTTTTTGTATATTTAGTAGAGATGAGGTTTTGCCATGTTGTCCAGGCTAATCTCAAACTTCTGACCTCAAGTGATCACATTCTTCAGCCTCCCAAAGTGTTGGGATTACAAGTATGAGCCACTGCTCCCAGCCTTTGCTAGCTTTCTGAGTGGCCTTCATTGCCTAAAATACTCTATTCCTCAACTTCAAAAAGGTGCAGAAAACTGTATTGTGAAAACCTTTTTTTATGTTACCAGTTTGTACCATAGTATATTCTTCACTTGGAGAACTAGTTATCTCAGAGGACTGAAATTTTAAATAAAGATACCTCAAGCCACCATTTATGATTATCTTATTCTGGATGCTATAGAAAATTTCTAAATAAAATGTTGTATTTATAACAACAGATTGTGATTGAGATGGCCAAGATGGCACGGTAGGAGCAAATCAGGATTGCAGCTCTCAGTGAAGATGCAGAGGGTGAGTTCAATCCGCATTTCCAGATGAATCTTTGTTGCCCACAGAACGGGGAAATTCCCAGGTGTGGGAGAGACACAGTACACCAGCGCAGCTGTTAAGGCTCACGTGGTTTTGGCCGGCACTGCAGCACAGCGGCACTCCGCACAGAACTCACTGGTCTGGATACCCTGTTAAACCGGCAATCTGAGATTTGGGAGGGCAGATTAGCATATCCATCCGATTAAACGAGACTTGGACAGTGAGCCACACCAGGAAGAGACGTTTGAGCTGGCACAGTGGGTCACTGCATAGGAAATCACACAGATCCTGGTGCCGTATCAGCAGCCAACTGAAACACCTGGGAGAGAATCAACCGTTTAACTTAAAAAAAAAAAGAGGGCTCTAAGGCAGGGAGCCAGGTGATCAGGCTCTGCAGGTCCCACCCCCACAGGGACAAAGAAAACAGCGATTTGAAATGCTCAGAGTTGAAAGTTTCACTGCGGGCACAGCTGAACCCAGGACGGTGCAGCTCGGGACGGTGCAGCTCAGTGGGGGAGAGGCGTTTACCATTACCGAGGCATACCACCAATACTGAGGTACACTCCCATTGCTGATGCAGCCTGCCGTTGCCAAAGCAGCCCTCCATAACAGAGAGACTCTGCCAACAGGGCAGAGCCCGTGGCAGCAGAGCAAAGCCTCGACAGGCAAAAAGTGACTAGACTGCCTCCTAGCTGGACAGAAAGGTGCAACAGATACTTACAAAGAAAGCCCTAAATTTCGGAGACAGAGCATCTGAGGAAAATAAGGGGTTTTATGAGTTCTGCTGCAGCAGACTTAAACATACTGGCCTAACCAGCCTGAATGATGAACAGAGCCCATAGCTCAGCACTTGAGCTCATAGAAAGTACAGACCACCTCCTCAAGCATCTCCCTGACCCCTGTATATCCAAAGAGTCACCTAAAAAAGGACTGATCAGACTGACATTTGGCGGGCATCATTCTGGGACAAAGATAGCAGAAGAAGAAACTGGTAGCACCCCTCACTGTTCTGCAGCTGCTACAGGTGTACCCCAGACAAGCAGGGCCTGGAGTGGACCTCAGCAGTCATACAGCAGAGGGGCTAGACTGTTAGAAGGAAATCTAAGTAACAGAAATACTTCATCAACAATCTAAGCGCCTAATCAGAGACCCAATCAAGAAGTCAGCAACTACTCAGATGACAGGTGGATCAACCCGCAAAGATAGGAAGAAACCAAGGCAAAAAAAAAAAAAAAAAAAAAAAAAAAACACCTGAAACCAAAACTCCTCACCAGCAAGGGAACAAAGCTGGATAAAGAATGAGTGTGATGAAATGATAATATCAGACTTCAGAAGGTGGGTAATGAGAATCTTCCATGAGCTAAAAGAACATGTTGTAAATCAATGGAAAGAAATGAAGAACCTTGAAAAAAGATTTGAGAAAAAGAAAACAAGAATGGACAACTTAGAGAGGAATATGAATAAATTGAAGAAGCTGAAAAACACAACATGAGAACTTTGCAAAGCATGCACAAGTTTCAACAGCCGAATTGACCAAGCAGAAGAAAGAATATCAGAAGTCGAAGATCAACTCAATGAAATAAAATGAGAAACCAAGATTAGAAAAAAAAGCACAAAAAGGAATGAACAAAGTCTCCAAGAAAAGTAGGACTACATGAAAAGACCTAACCCACGTTTGATAGGTGTACCGGAATGTGACGAAGACAATGAATCCGAGCTAAAAAACACTCTTCAGGATATTATTCAGAAAAATTTCCCCAACCTAGCAAGGCAGACCAATAGTCAAGTCCAGGAAATACAGAGAACACCTCAAAAATATTCCACGAGAAGAGCAACCCCAAGGCACATAATCATCAGATTCACCAAACTTAAAATGAAGGAGAAAATACTAAGGGCAGCCAGTGAGAAAGGTCGGGTCACCCACAAAGGGAAGACCATCAGACTCACAGCAGATCTCTCAGCAGAAACTCTACAAGTTAGAAGAGAGTGGGGGCCAATATTCAACATCCTTAAAGAAAAGAACTTTCAACCCAGAATTTTATATCCAGCCAAACTGAGCTGCATAAGTGAAGAAAAAATAAAATCCTTTGCAAACAAGCAAGTACTCAGAGATTTTTGCCACCACCAGGCCTGCTTTACAAGAGCTCCTGAAAGAGGCACCTCACATAGAAAGAAACAACTAGTACCAGCCATTTCAAAAACATACCAAATTCTAAAGAGCATCAACAAAATGAAGAATCTGCATCAACTAATGGAAAAAACAGCCAGCTAGCATCAAAATGGCATTATCAAATTCACACATAACAATATTAACCCTAAATGTAAATGGACTAAATGCACCAATCAAAAGACACAGACTGGTAAATTGGATAAAAAGCCAAAACCCATCGGTGTGCTGTATACAGGAAACCCAACTTACATGCAAGGATACACAAAGGCTCAAAATCAAGGGATGGAGAAAGATTTACCAAGCAAATGGACAGCAAAAGAAAAAGAAGAAATTGCAATTCTCATCTCTGATAAAATAGACTTTAAAGCAACAAAGATCAAAAGAGACAAATAAGGACATTACATAATGGTAAAAGGATCGATACAACAAGAAGAGCTAACGATCCTAATATATATGGACCCAATACAGGAGTACCCAGATATATAAGGCAAGTTCTTAATGACTTACAAAAAGACTTAGACTCCCACACGATAATAGTGGGAGACTTTAACACTTTACTGTCAATAATAGACAGATCAACCAGACAGAAAATCAACAAGGATATCCAGGGCTTGAGCTCAGACCTGGAACAAGCAAACCTGATAGATATTTACAGGACTCTCCACCCCAAATCCACAGAATTCCTCTCAGCACCACATCACACCTACTCTAAAATTGACCACATAATTGGAAGTAAAGCACTCCTCAGCAAATGCAAAACACCTGAAATCATAACAAACAGTCTCTCAGACCATAGTGCAATCAAGCTAGAACTCAGAATTCAGAAAATAACCCAGAACCACACAGCTTCATGAAAACTGAACAAGTGGCTCTTCAATGTTGACTGGATAAATAATGAAATGAAGGCAGAAATAAAGAAGTTCTTCGAAACCAACAAGAATGAAGACACAACATACCAGAATCTCTGGGACACATTTAAAACAGTCTCCAGAGAAAAATATATAGCAATAAGTGCCCACATGAGAAGAGTGGAGAGAACCAAAATTGACACCCAATCTTCAAAACTGAAAAAGCTAGAGGAGCAAGATAAAAAAACTCAAAACCTAGCAGAAGACAAGAAATAACTAAGATCAGAGCTAAACTGAAGGAGATAGAGACACGAAAAACCCTTCAAAAAATCAATAAATCCAAGAGCTGGTTTTTTGAAAAGATCAACAAAATAGACCACTAGCCAGACTGATAAAAAAGAAAAGAGAGAACAACCAAATAGAGGCAATAATAAAAGATAAAGGTGAAATCACCACAGATTTCACAAAAATTCAAACCATCATCAGAGAATATTACAAACAATTCTATGCACATAAACTAGTAAGCCTGGATGAAATGGATAAATTCCTGGACACCTGTGTCCTCCCAAGCCTAAACCAGGAAGAAGCCAAAACTGTGAATAAACCAATAACAAGGTCAGAAGTCGAGGAAGCAATTAAGAGCCTACCACACAAAAAAAGCCCAGGTCCAGATGGGTTCACAGCCGAGTTCTACCAGACACACAAAGAGGAGCAGGCACCATTCCTTCTGAAACTATTGCAGATAATCCAAAAAGAGGGAATGCTTTCCAAATCATTTTATGAGACCAACATCATCCTGATACCAAACCCAGCAGAGACTCAATAAGAAAAGAAAACTTCAGGCCAATATCCATGATGAACATAGATTCAAAAATCTTCAATAAAATACTGACAAACAAATTGCAACAGCACATCAAAAAACTTATCCATCATGATCAAGTAGAATTCATCCCGGGGATGCAAGACTGGTTCAACATACACAAGTCTATAAACTTAATTCACCACATAAACAGAACCAAAAACAAAAAACACATGATTATCTCAATTGACACAGAGAAGGCATTTGACAAAATTCAACAGCTCTTTATGCTAAAAACCCTCAATAAACTCGGTATTGATGAAACGTATCTCAAAGTAATAAAAGCTATTTATGACAAACCAACAGCCAATATCATACTGAATGGGCAAAAACTGGAAGTATTCCCTTTGAAATCCAGCACTAGACAAGGATGCCCTCTTTCACTACTCCAATTCAATATAGTACTGGAAGTTCTAGCCAAAGCAATCAGGCAAGAAAAAGAAATAAAGGGCATTCAAATAGGAAAGGTGAAAGCCAAATTGTCTCTATTTGCAGACAACATGATAGTATACCTAGAAGACCCCATCACCTCAGCCCAAAAACTTCTGAAACTGATAAGCAACTTCAGAAAAGTCTCAGAATATAAAATCAATGTGCAAAAATCACAAGCTTTCCTATACACCAATAGCAGACTGAAAGAGAGCAAAATCAAGGACAAACTGCCATTTTAAATTACTACAAAAAGAATAAAATACTTACGAATAAAACTTACAAGGAACATAAAGGACCTCTTCAAGGAAAACTACAAACCACGGCTCAATGAAATAAGAGAGGACATGAACAGATGGAGAAACATTTAATGTTCATGATTAGGAAGAATCAATATCGTGAAAATGGCTATACTGCCCAAAGTAATTTACAGAATCAATGCTATCCCTATCAAGCTACCAATGACCTTCTTCACAGAACTGGAAAAAACCACCATGAACTTTATATGGAACCAAAAGAGAGCTTGCATAGCCAAGTCAATTCTAAGCAATAAGAACACAGCAGGAGGTATCACACTACCGGACTTCAAACTATATTACAAGGCTACAGTAATCAAAACAGTATGGTACTGGTACCAAAACAGAGATATAGACCAATGGAACAGAACAGAGGCATTGGAGGCAACATAACATATCTACAACCATACAATCTTCGATAAACCTGACAAAAACAAGCAATGGGGAAAGGATTTCCTGTTTAATAAATGGTGTTGGGAAAACTGGCTAGCCATGTGCAGAAAGCAGAAACTGGACCCCTTCCTGACACCTTACATGAAAATTTACTCCAGTTGGATTAAAGACTTAAACATAAGACCTGGCACCATAAAAACCCTAAAAGAAAATCTAGGCAAAACCATGCAGGACATAAGACCAAAACACCAAAAGCATTGGCAACAAAAGCCAAAATAGACAAATGGGACCTAATTAAACTCCACAGCTTCTGCACGGAAAAAA